CTATGTCTTCAACTAATTTATTTAAATGAACGCAAGAATACTTTAATGTCAAAACATGATTTTTTTCTCAACATTTCCATCAAAACAAGGTGTAGCTCCGTTTATTAGAAACTGCACATCTCTGCCACATTTAGTAAAGCGTAAGAAGTTGAACTAGTTGGTACAGACTGGCCAAAGTGAGCTAAAGAAGCAAAATAGGTAAGCTAGAGTTGAAAAACCAGCCGATATACGAAAAACGGCATTTTCATCATCCTACCCTTTTAGTTTCTCATTTTCAGATTTCTATTTTTTTACCTTTCTCTTTACTAGTTCCAAGCGCTAGTGCACTTGACTGCCAACTGATGATACTTGTTTATTAGATCTTAAAGGGGTACTTGGACGTAATGTATGGCCGTTTTTGAAAAACCTGTAATATTACGTCTTAGCCGCTGAAACTTTCTCAACATAAAGATAAATAAACAAGAAATCACTCTGTAAAGTTTCATTTCGATATTTCAATGGGAAGTATGACATATTTACGATTTAGTTTTCGTCCGCCATTATTTTCTCTTCTCACGGCCAAAAAGTAAATGTGTACAGCGGACTTCCCTATGACGTCATAGGTCCAACGCATACTAATGACATCGTTTATAAACTGTATATTTACATGTATCAGCGATTGAAATTTTAGCTTTAAAAAACAAGATTTTTGCTCCCTTCGTAAATTTTAAGTGGTCCAAATCATTCCTTGAGACAAATGGCTAGTAGTAGAAGCGAAAGAGGAGCAAGAAGAAGAGCAAATGCTTCTTGACAGATTCAATGCGAAAGGTCGGATTCATTTGAACGAATGATAGGCTTTAGCTCATAAAGATACGATTGATAAAAGACTTTGGAGGTTGAATCCATTGGCCTTTGTACCGAGGACGAATCTACAAAGCGTTGAGAACATAAAATCGACGACTCACGGTAAGTGATTGTGGTCAACCATAAAAATGAGATCAAATAAATATTAATGTTAGTAATAAGTGAGATTAAAGATATAATTAACCTTATAGTTAAATACACTCATCAAATCATACTATTTTTATTAACCAGACATTGTCCAAAGTTTGAAACTTACATGTAATTGTAATGTATCTTTAGTTAAGTGGTGTCAGTACATCCATACACACAATTACAATACTATCACTTCAATTATTCAGCTGCAATATTAAAAAAAACATACCTGGTGCATGTTGGAGGAACATTTGTGTTTGCTGATGTTAGTCTTTGTGTGTATATGTGCAAATAGCTTTTTTTCTCATGTTCAAGTATGCTATTCATTGGTTCATATGTGTATTTGCTTGTAGCTCATTGCATCTCTTGCTGTTTTAACCATGGTTGTTTTATTTCACATAATCCATTTAGTAAACAAAAGTTGTGTTTTGTTGCCATATGCACACTTAATTTTAATTTAACATTGGAGTGGTTTTCACTTAACCCGTGAAATACACTTTAGCATATTACACTTTATTACGCTTTGTCTCTTTTGTTTTCTATTATATTTCTCGGCTATTACACTTTATTACACTTTGTTTCCCGGGTTAATGAGAACCACTCTAATAGAAAACAAAAGATCAGAGACAAAGTGTAATAAAGTGAAATATGCTGAAGTGTATTTCACGGGTTAATGAAAACCACTCTAAAATGTTTAATTGTAATAGAAAAATATTACAACAATTCTGTGGCAATCCTTTAACAGATCCCCTCTCCATATTTGTATTTACAATGTGTTTGGCTTGGTTTGACCTGTATTGTCCTTTCTAGACTCTTATATATATATGTTCATGAAATTGAAATGTAAAGCTGCTAATATTGTCATGTTATAAATAACAAAAACGAAGTGTATGATTTTAGTCTTATATTTCTATTCATATGTTTATAGGAAATGCATGAAAGAAAGGCAGCATAAGATAACATCACCTGTTACAAGAAATATTTCAATTATTTACATCTAGCAAACAGATAAATTATATAATACTACATCATATTATAGTGCAGACATTTCACATAGTACCCCTCAAATGAAATAAAAGAATATATTTGGCCGGTGACAAATTGATAATGAACTGATCAAAATAATCAGCCTATCTATTGGATTAAATTTCATAATAAAGCTTGTAAAAATCGATGAAGATGAAGAATCTAAAGAATCAAGATTATATTGAAATTATTGAGAATAGTTGCTCTGTTTATTAATTTTTATTCTTCGATTATAGTTATTATTATAAGAAAAGCATGTAAGTAATGGGATCAGCTAATTCCTCATATGATTATGTGTAACTATAATAAATTTATCGATGATCGAGTTAGTCAACAAATATGTCAAGCTATAAATTCTATGACTGTGTTCACAGTGAATCACTGCCTATTGTGGCTGTCTCTTCATAGCCCCAGATTGTTGGGATCAAACCCTTTTCCAATTTATGTCTTTAATATCCCCGTCAAAGTAAGAAAACTTTCGACTCCTTCKATCAAACACCAAAGAATCCGTTGAAATTGGCGCGGTGAAATCGCACATTAATCGCTTCCACTTTTCCAAATCAGACTTGTTACTATGTGATTTGTGCAATGATAGTCCTGTCTTGAGATTGATTATCTTTCTACAGCCCCAAACTAAGCAACGCCACAACATTTTAACGACAAATTCTTGTTTCTAGTAAGTATTTGCCTCGTTGATTCCCTATGTGTTGGACCTATGACGTCATTGGTCCAACTAGACCCATTCTCCTGAGCCAAATCGATGATCAGAGAAAATAATGGCGGACGAAAACTAAATCGTAAATATGTCATACTTCACATTGAAATATCGAAATGAAACTTTACAGAGTGATTTCTTGTTTATTTATCTTTATGTTGAGAAAGTTTCAGCGGCTAAGACGTAATATTGCAGGTTTTTCAAAACGACCATACATTACGTCCAAGTACCCCTTTAAACCCTTTTTGGGAGTGGCCGCGTTTGTTCTCAGGCATTCAAAACCCCCATACATTGATAAGATATTGACTTTGAACTATATCATGTTCATCTTCGGGACTAAAAGTAAAAGTTATCAAAACAAAAAAATATATATAAACTTTGTTAAGTTATCGTACGAGGAAACAAAGTGGATTGAAAGAATCCGTTTGTTTATTTTTAGCTAAAAAGCTTGGTAGGAATTTGCTTAAAGGGCTTCTATTCTCTCTTAATGTAATTTT